TCTTTTAGAGGGTCAAATTAATAAAGTGTTGAAGGTTGAAGAAGCTCGGTGACAGTGATGATTCATAGGGTTAGTTGTACCGTCGACTCGTCTCTTTAACTGTCTGAAAATCACCTCTCCTTTGTGGAGCAGTTTAAGGTCTGGGGGTCGAGGTATCAGTGGATTCTTCGTGATTCATTTGTAATTAAAAACAAACCAAACCAAAATTCAACATGAAAAAAGTAAAAAACTGAGTCTTTTTTCTTTTTTGTTACAGAATCAATAAAAACAAAAACAATCCAAAGCGGAAATAAAACAAGTTTGCAGACGACACATTTCTCTGCAATTGAAATAAATTGCCAGTTGTCTACCTGGAAGTGATCGCTGTTATTCGATCAATATTTGCACTTCCTTCCATTTTGTATTACAACTGCTGCAAAACAACATCCAACAACAAAAGTTTTATCTGTGTTATCTTTTTGGACAGAGCCGGGCTAGCTGCATGTAATAACAGATCTGGATACAGCGTTGATTCAGCGTCAAAAGCAAGACCTCGTTCATTCCTGTGAAAGTTGCTCAGTTGCTCATGAAGCCAATAAAGCTTTATTCCCGCAGTATGAAATTACATGGATTATTGGCACTGCTTCCACAGAGTGAGCGCACTAGAGTCTGGTTTGCTGCCCAGCTAACCAGAATGGGGATGACATGATTTAGTCTTCTAGATTTTCCAAATGTTATTGGACTGAATGAATGAAATCCAGATAATGAAATGAGTCATTTGGGTTGTGACGCTAAAAAAACATATCCACTGATTTACAGATGTCTCTGTCATCACGTTAATTTATGGGAAAAGTCTTTAGTAAGGACATCAGTTGTTGAAAACCAGCGCTTGGTCAGTGACTTCTGGCCTCAGACACTGATGATAAAAACCGTCCTTTCAGGTCACCATGACACACAGCTGGTTGCTGTTATTGTTTAACGGTGCAAGGCAGTGTCAAGGAGAAATGTAACGAGACAACAACGAAAGTTAAGGTGACATAAGTCCGAGTAGAGTGGGAGGGCTGGTGGATGGGTCCAGCTACCACGGACTTTCAACCAGGAGGCTGGTGTTCACCTCCCATATCAGTTTAAAGCCAAACCGTGTTCTCAACCACGTGCATTTGTTGTTAAAGACAAAAAATGTCAGTTGGCGGTGTTGTACTAATGTACTGCTTTTATTTTGAAAGAGACTGTATGCAAACTGTTTCCTGTGAAAACAGAAGTGTATGTTGAAAACAGACAATGCATGTAACAGGCTGAAGTTGACACGGCGTCCCAGAAGGTCAACAACCAACACACCCAGGGTACCTTGGACGTCATATGTGGACGTGGAAAGTCCATGACCAAACGTGGACATGTGACGAGGTCACAGTGGAGAATTTGTAATTCCATGTTTTGGCCATCGCTAAAATTGGCTTCAAAGCCCAGTGCACTTCCTGGGGGCCTGGCTTCTTTATGCTAAGCTAAGCTAATCACATCCTGCCTCCAAAATATTAAACTATTCCTTTAAAGCTCTCAGAACTTTTATTTCATCAGTGTGTTTATGAGATTATTTCTGCCTTCACAGCAGTTTTTATTTTGAGTCAAGCATTCAGAAATATAATAGCCTACATATTCATTCATCTTCTTTAATGTAATTCAATCTCTCATTTATCCTCTCATGAGGTCATGTGGGGAAATTCTCAGATGATGAAAGCCTTTGTCCTCTTTTTCCTCTCGCTCTCTCTGTTTCCTGTTTACATGGTGGAGAGCTGACCAGCGCCCAGCGAGAGGGAAACTGTGATGATGCAATCTGACCTCCGTGACTCTCTGTCTCTGTGACACGCTCTCTCCCTCGCTCATTCACTCTGTTTTTTTCATATACCCCTCCTTCCTGTTTATGCTCTGAATTCAGCAACGGCATCAAGAGATAGATGGGAGGACACAGGGAGAGCTTGTGCTTTCTGCTTCTTCCTTTATTGATGTTGTTTGACTCTGAGGTCACACACACACACACACACACACACACACACACACACACACACACAAAGTGGAAGTGATGCTTTGCAGCCAAATGCATTTGGACGTGTGTCTTCTGGTTGTAAATCTAATGTGGCTCCTGGGGAATCTGAGAGCATCATCCAAAACCTCTGTCATCCAACATGTCTGCTGGAGAGAGGCATCACCTCTTAACCAACTGCATGTATCATCACATTTGTCATCACCACTACGCGCTTCATCACGGCTGCCTGAGAGGCACAACTGAGGGCAGGAAATCCCCAGACAAACACAAACAAGGCTGTTAAACAAGCAGCCGCTCTGTCAGAAATGGCTCCTCTTTATTCTCTCAAACTCTGACAAAGTGAAAGGCATCTTTTCAAATTATAACTCGTAAAAACCCAGCGATGGCAGCGTCAGCAGCCAGAATTGGGACCTTTGTTTGACCTGATTCTGGGGTGTAATTCTTGCTGAGTCTTGGCCAAGTTGGGCAACCGGACACGGCCCGTCCAATTTCTTCTGGCGTGCTGAGATTGGGCCGATGCTGGGCCAGGTCTTTTCTGACAAAGGCCCAGTGATGGCAGTGTCAGCAGCCGGAATCAGTACAGCATATTTGGTCTGATTCTGGTGCACCATCATGCCAAGTCTTATGGCCGGTATACACTGTGCGATTTTGGGCTGTCCCAGACAAAAGATGGCCATCATGGGAGAAACGTGGCGATATCTTTGGTCGTGGCTCTAAAACGGTGGTCTTACATCGCACAGTGAGACAGGTTCAAGGACAGCCGTTGTCTACATCTTGCGACCAAAGATAACCTGATATAAAATTCTGACGGTGTCAGAAATTTAGGATGACTATCTGACAGTGTGACAGCTGCTACGACCTACGTCTACTAATCAACCAATAGAAATGCAGCACGAAATGACTCAATGGTCACTGCGAAACCGGCGCTAAACCCAAACAAATGATCGCTTGGCCTGGAGGTAAAACGAACAAAAAGAAGTGTGTGGAACTCCCAGAAAGAGGAAAGTTTGGTGGAGCTGTGGCAGCAGAAGCCTTGTTGATTTGATGTTTCTATCTATCTTTGATGCTGCTATCATGACCGCCAGAAAAAAGACGCTGCATGGAAGGAAATTGTGGAGCAACTGCAATTTCCAGGTGAGCAAGCTACCTATGGTGGTGCAGATGGATGACGTACGCTGACGCGGTGCACGCTGATGACGTTGCATATTGACGTACATTGTAACGTGCGATTGAGTAGTAAACGGCCATCGTACAATCTGCACACATCAAACTTGACATCGTACCAAAGTTTATTAGATCCACGTCTCACAGTGTGTCATGCAATGGTCTTATAAGATTGCTAAAATCGCACAGTGTATAGAGGGCATTAGCTGAGTCAGGCAACTGGACATGGCCTGACTAATTTCTTCTGGCATGCCGAGTTTGGGCCAGTGCTGGACCAGGTCAATTTGGCTACCTGGGAATATTCATTTTGCACATCTTACAGACATTTGCACATTGTACGTGTGCAAATGTTTTAAGGGACTATGTTTTGCTTATGTTGTGCTGTGGTTTTGTTCATGTGCTGCTGTGACATGGGAATTTCAAACAATCTGTAAGTGTGTCTGTCTGTGTTAAAGGTGTTCTGTGGTGTTGGTTTAAATACACTGTTATTCACCAAAAGTGTTAAAAACGCTAATAGCCTTGACTCTTAACATGGGGGTCTATGCGGACTGACTCGCTCTTGGAGCCAGCCTCAAGTGGACATTAGAGGAACTGCAGTTTTTGGCACGCCCATGTTGGCTTCATTTTTCAGCCCCGGAGGTTACTGCTTGTTGTAGATCTTTGAGTTGAGATGTTTGTCCCAGCAGGTGTGCCAGCGCAACACAACTATTTGACCAACAACTGGTCAAATAGTGATGCCTGGTCAGTGGCCCCGCCCCTGTGTCTTCTCAAAATAAACTTAAATGTAGGCGTCAGTTTCTGCTTGTTAAATGCATACAGTCTTTTTTCTAAATCAACTAAGAACATAGGTAAAAAATGGGGTTTATCCACCATATTCCTATCCCCCATGATGCCTTGCGTGAGTTATAGGTGCAACTTCTGGTGCTGAACCGAAACTGGCATTTTCCCCTTTTAACAGTTAGCTTACGATACGCACCTCATTTTAGTGATTAGGAATAAAACATACGGAACACACCGCCTGTTACACCTCAGGCGAGCGTATCTATGTTTCCCGGGTTCTATGATCCTCGCTCAACCAAGCTGGAAACATAGAACCCTTTTTGGTTGAGCGGGAAACATAGAACCCGGGAAACATAGGGATGACCCCAACCAAGCACGTTAGCGATTAGCTCCTCTTGCAATGTTAACATGTTAATTCAACAGAGCCACAGCTAGCTTACGGTAAACATCCCTTCCTTCTAAATGATGCTTTATGATTTCTTACGACTCATAAACAAACACTAACACATTTGGCGAACATTTAACATAATTCAGTCTAAATTTCAGCTCCATGTAAAGTGAATAAACGTGATGTTTCCAAGCTAATGCTCTGCTTGTCTGCCTTCATGAGGCAGTTTACACATTTTTATAACTGCTGGTGTATTAAATCAGAGTTCCACTGAGTGAAACGTAATGCTGAATTTAGCATCAGACGTCAGTAATACCGCCGCTAAAGGGTGCCTTGGTGTGTGAAGATGAAAGCCACTGGCCAGGCGTGAATTGTAATCACTTCATCTTCACATTTACAAGTTTAGTTTGGTTGTCCAAATTCAAACCCTTAAATTTAGATTCTCCAAGTCTGAAAGTTGAACTTGGCATGTTTTGTATTGAGGAACGTCTCTACATTTATTTTCTGTAATCTGTTACTTGTTGTTCAAAGGTATTATATCAGGATAAACCTGAGATTTACGAGCGGTCTCGAACATGTCACGGCAATCAGCAGCTGTGTTTATTTTCCAAAAAGCATGGAAGAGGAGAAGAGGCTTCATGTGAAAGACTTTCCCTGTTTGATGTCTTTATCTGAGATGTCCCGCTGAGCTTTGAAGTTTCTGCAGCCATGTTTGTTTTACAAATGAGCCAGCTGAACCTCTTCACCCTGCAGCAGCGGACCTCTCCTCCTCCTCTTCCCCCTCCTCCTCTTCCTCCTCCACCTCCTCCCTCTCCTCTCTGTGTTTTCCACATTTTCTTCAGAGAGGAAGTGGCGTGTTGCATCGTCCTGACAGCACAGACAGCTTCGTGTTACACTGAGACCTGTTTCTGTTATTTAGTCCAGCACAGTTAAATCAAAGAGGAGAGACTGGATATTAAAACACCACATTACAATTCAGCAGAAACACAAACTGCAGCCTCCATAATGATCTCACTGTTGAATTAACACAAACTGAACATTATAACCGTCATGACAAGGATCAGTTTATTCCAGGACTGTTGTCTGCATCAGTTTTAGCTGGTGTACCTAATAAACCGGCAATTGACTGCGATCAATTCGACATCAGATGCAAAGATGAAAAGATGCAATTTCATCATGTATTTATTTATTGCAGGTGGTGATGATGAGAGATGTACACAAACTGACTATATTCTAAATACAGAAGAGGAAAAACTGAATCTAAGTAATGACAATAAATTCCAAGTTTCCAAAGATAAAGAAAATGTGCTTGGAGATACCTCAAGACGAAGGAGGATTGAGCCTCCTCAGTTTACGTTGCTGTAATTGGGGAGCAAGTTGTTCTCACGTTGATGTTCTGGGTCTCTGCATTACAAGAAAACATGGACTCAATCAGTAAAGTGTCTTTGATATTCACGGCGCTCAGTAAAACCTGCAGCAGTTTTGCCCCCACTTTCACCAAATCTGCAACGTGCAAACTGCAACTTCAGATAATTTCCTGTCATATTAATTTTGACACAGTTAACTAATCAAAAGAAATGCTGTATTTGTGACTCATGTTTCAGCACACAAGAGAAGTGATGATGCCTGGTATTCAACATTGGTTCCAAGTGCATATTCCAAACTACTGGACAGACAAAATTAACCTTTCCTACGGCTACAGGTGGTTTCTATCAGGTTTATATCCATCCATAAAGAAATGCACTTCCTTGCATTAACCGCTAGAGAAATCATCTGTGTGTTTACAGACACTGGTCACATACTTAAATGCATACTAGGCGTTCGGCTTCTTGTTTTTAGTTGAGAAGATTGCTGAAAATGTCTTTTAATATGTGTTTTAGAGCTTAGATCGGGCCCAAAAAATTCAGCCTGACCCGGCCTGAGCCCGTGCATGTTATGTCCGGGACCGGCCCGGCCCGTCCAATCAACTGTAATTATGGGCCCGAGCCTGATTTAAACCCGACATTTTTCAATAAGTTGGTTGTTATAATTAATGCTAAGGACACACCGAGTGCGTTAGTGCCGCAGAAGTCCTGCGAATGTACTCACAGGCGCTTGATTGTCCACACAGGCAGTGCATTTCTCCTGCGCTCTCTGCGCCGGTTAAACATCAACTCCACTCGTCTGTTCCCATCAGTACTCGTTTTTTCACTTCAACAGGTCATTTTAAACATGGGTAAGGCCATATTTTAATCATTTTTTATGACATAATAAGTTGATGACAATTTGTCATTGCATGTCCATGTATTGAGCGTGTTGGGTAAACACGAATGAATAGGGCGTATTTTTTGGAGGCACGGAAAGCCACTGTCCCTCCCACTTATCTCTACCACCCCCCTCTCTCATATCTGACTCTCTCTCTCTCTCTCTCTCTCTCTCTCTCATATCTGACCAGGCCCGGCCTGGGCCCGTCGGAGGGGTGGGGGGTCCCAGTCCGACCTGGCTTGGGCCCGCAGGCTGGGTCGGGCAGAGAATGTAAGCTCTAATGTGTTTTAATCACTTGTGCCCTCTACTGGCTGGTTAAAGAGGAGTGAGGAGTTAGCTGCACTAAACTTATAAGACTGCTAAAATCTCACAGTCTGTAGGAGGCTTAATGCCAACGTCAACAGAATACTGACGGCAGATGATGTTGATATTCTGTTTGTTTTAAGTTGTGTTGTGAATTCTCGTTATGTTTCCCTCAAATGTGTGTTGGCTGTTTTAAATTAGTTGTATATAATAAATGTATTTTCTGTGGTGACAGGGTTGTTGCAGGTGACACAGGCCCCAAATACACTTGTCATTTAAAGTACACTCACCGGCCTCTTTATTAGGTACACCTGCTCAATTTCTCATAAATGCAAAAAGCTAATCAGCCAATCAGGTGTCAGCAGCTCATTAACATTTAGTCATGTAGACATGGTGAAGACGAGCTGCTGAAGTTCAAACGGAGCATCAGAATGATGAAGAAAGGTGATTGATGTGACTTTGAACGTGGCATGGTTGTTGATGCCAGAGGTCAGAGGAGAATGGCCAGACTGGTTCAAGATGATAGAAAGGCAACAGGAAGTCATATAAGCACTGGTTCCAACCAAGGTGTGCAGAAGAGCATCTCTGAAGCAACAACACCTTGTCCAACCTTGAAGCAGATGGGCTACAGCAGCAGAAGACCACACCAGGTGCCACTCCTGTCAGCTAACAACAGGAAACTGAGGCTACAATTCACCAAAACTGGACAATAGAAGATTGGAAAAACCACATTCAGATGGAAGCATGGATCCATCCTGCCTTGTATCAACGCTTCAGGCTGCTGCTGTTGGTGTAATGGTGTGGGGGAGATTTTCTTAGTACCAACTGAGCATGGTTTAAACACCACAGCCTACCTGAGTATTGTTGCTGAGCGTGTCCATCCCTTTATGACCACAGTGTACCCATCTTCTGATGGCTACTTCCAGCAGGATAACGCACCATGTCACAAAGCTCACATCATCTCAAACATGACAATGAGTTCACTGTACTCCAATGGCCTCCACAGTCACCAGATCTCAGTCCAATAGAGCACCTTTGGGATGTGCTGGAACGGGAGATTCTCATTATGGATCAACTGTGTGATGTCATCATGTCAATATGGACCAATTTCTCTGAGGAATGTTTCCAGCACCTTGTTGAATCTGTGACACCAAGAATTAAAAAGGTACTAGCAAGGTGTACCTAATAAAGTGGCTGCTGAGTGTGTATCCATGTCTCCAGGACAACATTCAGATGTGATTATCTACATGTAACCACATGCATGCGTCTCCACCAGCCACATTACAAACGTGATTGCAATCCATTTTGGTCTTTTCAGATTACATGCAGTCAGAGTCAGTACGTGTCCAGCTGAGAGGAAGGTTTAAAACACCAGAAAAAGGAAACTTGTGCGATTCAGATTACAACAGTTCATACATGTAGATACCCACATGGATAACTCATGTATGGAATATGAGCATCACTAAAGCTTTACTTTTCTCCTCCCTCAGCTGCACAGATTATTCGTCACTGATCAGATAAATGCTTCAGCAAGTGTTGAGATCACTGAGCTGCTGCGTCTCAGACTGAGCAGCTGGACTGCAGTCTGAATCAAATGTGTCTTGGTTCACACTTTGACTCATTAAGTGTAAAAAAAGGTGAGATAAAAGGCAGGCAAATGTGATTCAGGCAGAAAGTTGTAGAAACAAAGAGAGCAGCAGCAAACTGACGTCTACACACACACACACAGAGGGTGGTGATTGGCAAACAGGAAACAGCTGAGACAGTCAGGTGTGTGATCAGGTAGGTGACCCAAAGACTCCCTGAGGACACCGAGAGGACAGAGGAGGACATGCTGCAGGCCGTCAGATGTCAGCAGAGTTTAAACTGCAGCGTGTGGATTAAAGTCTGGACAGCAGCTCTCACAGATACACAGTGTTATGATCTGTTTGCTCTCTGGGGAAACAAACTCACCCGCTGGTCCTTGAATGCATCGTTCCAACAGTTTGTCCCTCTCCTCTGATGTTTGATGCTCTGCAGCTGATGTAACCTGCTGCAGACTGTGGACATGAATCTGTCAGCACACGCAGCCCCTCCTCCACCCTGCCGGACCTCCTCCACCCTGCCGGACCTCCTCCACCCTGCTGGACCCCTCCTCTGTTTGTCCCCACAGTTTGATGTGTTGTTAGGTGGGACCTCAGACTTCAGTGTTTCCCTCTGTGGGATTTATGAGGAGCGCTGATTAACTGTGACACCATAGTTTCATTGTTTTGTTATTGGACTGGAACATCTGATGGAACAAATCCCTCCTTTATTATACGGTTCTGTTTTTGTTTTATTTTATAGTCCTGTTGTATTGTGTTGCATTAAATTGCGCAAATGTTCCTGTTATGAAAGTTTCTTTTTAAAGGAGAAAAGCTGAGTTAAAATGGACGATGGGAATACTTCACTATGAGCCACTGTGAGGGAAAAATAATTTTGGCAAAGAAATCAAAGTGTATTTTTTTTTTTTAAGGTCATGATGTTATTAGAATAAAGTCGTCATGTGAGAGAAAAAAAAAAGGTTATTATAAGACTAACTTGGCAAGTTTACAAGGAAAAGGTCGATAAAAAAAGTGATAGTTAAAATGACATAATGAAATTATTATTATTATTATTTATAAAAATAATGTCATTTTTTTAAAAAAAAAAATTCACAACAAAAAGCTGTAATATTCTGTGAAAAAAACATACTTCTTTGAGAAAAATCTTCATATTTCAAGACAAAGTTTTATTATTTTGAGAATTAAGTTGTAACGTTAAAAGAAAATGCTGTAATACTTTGAGGAAAAACTGCTAATTTTACAAACAAAGTTGTAATAATTAATAACAACAATCATAACATACCAAATTTTGTCTGCCTCTTTCTTGCACAATAATATCACAGTAATACAATGACTTTATTATTATTTTATTACTTTACGCTTATGGTTTGTCCCACATGACATTTTCAGACTTCACAAGTTTTAATAGTATCAATACAGTTGTTTTTATGACGGAGTATTAGGGCCATATTGCAGAAAAAAAAAATTCTGAGATTTTGAGAATAAAGTCATAATATAATGAGAAAAACTCGTTGTGCACTCGTGTTGAAATAAATCTACATTGTGAAGCAACCCTTACTTGCACCGAATTGGAAATATTTTAGAAAAATACACTGAATTACAAGGCTTTAGAGAACAGTGTGCTACTGTAGACTTAACATGTAAGGTTATAAAAGGTCGTGATCTAAAGTGGGCCGGTCTGAGCCATGAAACTCATCCTCTAACCCATTCTGTTTGTTGTTGGTTATTTCCTTAAAAACTACGACTTTATTCTCACATTTCAAGTTTTTTCTCTAAATCTTAGAAAAAAAATTTCTTCGATGTGGCCCTAATACTCTGCCGTAGTTTTTAACCTCTCCTTATATGTGATATTATAAACTAGTTTCTCGTGTTGTCATTTCATGTTTTCCACTTAGAGAACATCATGTTTGTGAGAAGACTTTATCTGCTTTGATTTTTACACAACACATTTCTGCTCTAATGACCCCAAAATGAATTCTTCTTCTTGCTTTTCATTGACACATCTGAACACGTCTGTTGTGTTTGAATTTATTCTGGCATTTTATTGTACTTTAGTACTCAGCTGGGTGCAGAGAAAAAAAACGATCAACGAGATGTAAAGGAACCTGTCAGAGACATGCGGGGGGGGGGGGGGGGGGGGGGGCAAACACCACTTCAAAGCTTTGATTTATTTTCAGACATTTTTCTGTGTGTGATGAAACTAGCAGGAAAACTCGACATTTAAAACTGGAAATAAAGATGATTAAAGTAAGATAAAAGAAATAAATAAAACACAGGAGGTGTTGAAGACATTTCAGTGGGCTGATGAGCTCCCAGCTGGTCACCAACATCATTAGGGCCCGGGCACCAAACAGTGTGAGGAGCTCAAGGAATTATTATCATTATTGTTATTAATATTATTACAAACGATTCCCATTTTTTAAAGGCTTAAACATGCCCCCGAGTTGCACAAAGGTGCGAGGGCCAGTTCATCGCTGCACGCTTCAATTACATGTTGATATCTGGGTGAATTTAGGTTGTGATGTTGGGTGACCAAGATTTAACGTCAGGACAACGTCTAATGCCAATGACAATTTGACTCAGAATACTGATGACAGATGACGTTGATGTTTTGTTGTTTTTTGAGTTCTGTTGTAAAGTAACAAACATCCAACGTTTTCCAAACGTCTCATGCCAACCTCATCTTGAGAAAGAATAACAACAGTCAGTCGTAAAGTATGAACAGAGACTGTAAAAATAATGGATGTAGCTTCCGTGACGTTGGTTTGTGGACTCTGGTTGTGAAGCCGCCAGTTTGACATGTCAGCTGTCGCCATCTTGGTTTTTTAGAGGCAGAGGTGACCATATGTGGACGAGAAGGTGGAGCAGTGGAGAAGCGGGTTGGATCAGAATCACAGACTGTGACAGCCTGTCACTCAAAGTGGCCTGCCCCTAGGTATGTGTAACTTTGGGCCTTAATAAAATGTAAATGGGAAAGTTACATAAAAATTAATTCCCTCCATACAGTCGTCATGAAAGTTGACATTAGCTATAGAAACAATTTTTTGTACCAGGCTGTAAACATGTTTATTTCTACATGTTAACATGGGGGTCTGTGGGGACTGACTCACTATAGGAGCCAGCCTCAAGTGGCCATTAGAGGAACTGCAGTTTTTGGCACCACTGTGTTTACCTAAATGTGTGTAACTTTGGGGACGGGAAAGGTATAAAAAAAGTCACTGCCAGTACAGTTGTCATGAATGTCGTAATTAGCCGTAACATGTTTACCAGGCTGTAAACATGTTTTTCTTTTTTACTGTAAAATTGAGCATTATAACATGGTGGTCTATGGCAGTGGTTCCCAACTGGTGGGTTGCTGTCCAAAAGTGGGTCGTGGATCCACTCTGAATGGACTGCAAGTAGGCATGTGCCAGTATGAGATTTTGACGGTATGATTACCTTGGGCAAAAATACCACGGTAATCAGTATTGCCGCGGTAATAATAATAATAATAATAAAAGTAAAACAGGCGTCGTCCTATTTTCGTGCTCTACACTTTAAAACGGTAGGCTAATATTTGTTTGACCGTTAATGAACGACAGCACGTACCAGGCATCTCCTGTCAGTGCAATGCATCATCACACCAGTTGTTTAAATGGGGGGAGCTGGTCTTTGCCTTGGCTCTGGGGGTTCTTCTGATAGCCTAAATGGTCCTACACCACCGACTTCGTCCTTTTCGCCGGTGGGAAGAGTTCAGCTTCACCTCCTCCAGCCATGTTTGCATTTTGCACGTGAGTGGATTTACACTGATTAGCCTACTGATGTACTGACTGAGGCTGCCCCCCCAATAATTGTGCTGACTGCAGCGGCTGCACATGCATGATTTCAGAGGGTGTGCCAGTTAAAATGTATGACTGGCACTGAGTTATTTCTGAGTTTTGAGTTCCTGAAGTTCCCATTTATGAAACGTAGCGTAGGTTACACTGTCGGCCTTTACCGTCGGAACGGAAAATGGGCGGTTAGTGACACTGTGACATTCTTTTTCTGTGGTAAACTGTGACGCTGGTAACCAGCACATGCCTAACTGCAAGTGACCAGCAAACATGTCAAGTTTATTTTGAAGCGCTGTTTCCTGCTGCTCAGTGAGTGACCTTGAACTAATGACTACAGAGAAATCTGGACCCTGTGGCTGGACCAGTTGGGAACCACTGGTCTATGGGGATTAACTGTGTTTTAGAGCCTCGTGTGGCCATTAGAGGAACTGTAGTTTTTGGCACCATTGGCTTCATTTTTTTCAGCCCAGGGGGTCTCTGCTCAGGTATGAAGAACGAAAACCAACGAACCATCTGCAAATTGTCATAATGTCAACGTCCATACGATGTGAAATTCTGACTTCATTAGACATTTAAAATATTGTCACCCTGACTGTCAATCCAAATAAAATGATGAGTTTGCATTCATAAGCAAATCTACGACTAATCCCGGCTGTCACGAGTCCAAAGTCTTTAAATCTATAAATCTATAAATATAAACTACCTGTGAATCTGAGGCGACATTATCAGCCTGTCTAGACATTTCTTCCTTCTTAATGAATGAGCAAACATGATTTCCAGTCTGAATATACAGTCATGTACATCATTTAATGCTTAAAATATCTAAAGTCGCTCCAGGAGTCACTCTCGTATCGTATCTCGACACAATATGATCCAACAGAAAACCCCACGCCCACATTGAGGCCACACACATCCTCGTCGACATGGCAACATGCTGTCCCGTGTCAAATCTGGGTTGCCAGGTAACAGATGGGATTAGAGTGGGGGGGTATGAATGTTGTCTGATGAGAGGATGAGGAGGAGTTGGAGTGATGAAGCTGCAGGAGGCAGTGGTGAAGTGAGGTGATGCGACAGCTGGAGAAAGAGTTTCAGTCAGAGCAGGAAATGTAATGCTAAAGCTTATTTGTATTTTCTTATGGGTGCTGTTCTTTAAAAAAATTATAGTGCTCACTGTAGTTTATGTCAAATAAAATAATAGGAAATAGTGAATTTGTTGGGGACTACTTGCAGCGGCGGATGAATCTACATTTGGTGCTCTGGTGAGTATTTGTGGCAGACATGTAAAACACAATGCCTCCATGTTATGATGTCAGCTTCATTATGGACATGTTCAGTGAAATGAACATTAAAACACTGTTTTTAATTTTGCTGCATTTTAAAAACTTTTAACCTCACCTGTTTTGGCCTGTAATAAATGAACCAAAAATTAAAATCCACTCCATTTTCTTCCTTTATATTCCTCCTGGAGCTGATCGTCTGGGGTAAGACAGCTGAACTGTTTGCGTGTTGCTGCATTACGAGGTGTACTTAATACTGCAGCCTCTAGGGGGCGCTAGTGGGGACACATTTAGCTTTGTTTCCATGAGC